GCCTATGTACTAGTTAACTTGAAAATAACTATTTTGAAACTCTATAACTGGATTTCAAGAATAGTAACAGACTATTTTCATCCCTTTTTGTTTGATAAATGAAACCCAAAACCTATATGATCCTGATCCTTAATATTATGATACTTGTATTTTATGTAATATATATATTTGTAGATGTCCAATACGAGAAGTTCTCTTACACCTAATTTTCACAATGTGAATGAATCTGAAAGTTCAATGCTTGAAGCTTTAAGTTATCCCAATATTAAGAGTTTAAGAAGGACGAAAAAGAAAGCCATGAAGCCAAGGTCAGAAGTATGGACTCATTTTACTAAGTTTGTTAATGATAAAGGTAAGTCAAAGGGTAGATGCAATTATTGTAGTAAAAAATTTTGTTGTGATGGAAAGAAAAATGGTACTGGATCTCTAAAATATCACATGAACTCATGCAAGCAAAATTCTAATAACTTTGATAATGCATGAGCTTAATTAATTTTTTCAAGTAAAGGTATTGAAAGGGAAGAAAAATATCATCACTTGGAAGTTTGATCAACAGGCAACTAGAAAGAGTTTAGCTTGTATAATTATGATTGATGAGTCACCTTTTAGGTTTGTAGAAAGTGAAGGCTTTAGGGACTTTATATTTATTGCATGTCTTAGATTTCATGTTCTTTCATGATCTACAATTACAAGGGATGTTTATTAGCTTTATTTAGATAAGAAGTAGAAAATCAAATAATTTTTGAAACATTCATGTTAAAAAATTTGTATAACCACAAACATATGAATATATTTGCAAAAAGTAAATTATTTATATCTTACGACTCACTTTATTGATAATGATTGGAAATTGAATGAAAGAATCTTAAACTTTTGTCAAATTTAAAGTCATAAAGGTGAAACCATTGGTAAAGATGATTAAGAAATGCTTGCTTGGTTAAGGGATTGATAAATTGTTCAATATCATAATTGATAATGCAAGTTCAAATAATGTTGTTGTTGGGTACTTGAGCAAAAAAATTTGGGAGTCGAAGGGGTTGCATTTTAAATGGACAGTACATTCATATGAGATGGATTGCAAATATTGTGAATTTAATTGTAACTAAAAGCTTGAAAGAAATGAATAAATCGGTTGCTCGTATTAAGGGGCAGTGAGATATGTAAGGCAATCTCCCTCTAGATTATAAAAATTTAAAGAATGTGTTGAGATTAAACATATAGAAAGCAAAAATTTGTTATTGCTTGATGTTTGTATTAGGTGGAACTCTACCTACTTAATATTGGATATTGCTCAAAAATTTGAAAGAGCTTTTGAAAGATTTGAAGAGTTTGATAACAACTTTAAAGTTGAACTTGAGTCATTACGAAGGATGATTGAAAAACTGTTAGAAGTTTAGAACAGTTTCTTGAGCACTTCTATGAACTCACATTGCGGGTTTTAAGCATTTTATGTGTCACATCCAACATTTTGTTTGATGAACTTGTTGAAATGAAATGTCTTTTACAAAATGCTCAAATTAGTAATGATGTTGAGTTTGGTGTGATGGCTATGAGAATGAAAGACAAATATGATAGGTATTGGGAAAACATTGAGAATATATGCTTATTTTTGTTGAGGTTGTTCTTGATCCTAGGCATAAATTAAATTATGTGAAATTTACACTTAAAAGTATGTATGATGGTGAACTTAGTTTGTCAATGGTGAAAAGGGTGAAGGAAGTTACTTATGAATTATATCATGCATATCATCTTTCACTTTTTAATGATAGTGCCCAATCAAATATGATGAGTGATGTAGAAGAACCACAACATAAATTGAAAAAGTGTATGAAGTATTTATATAGGATGCACATGATTGAATCTGGTGTTGGGAACCAAAAGTAAAAGATGAATAGGTATCTAAATGATACTGTCGAGATTGATAGTGAAGATTTTGATATTTTAGGACGATGAAAAATCAACAACTCTAGATTTTTTATCTTTTCACAGTTGACCAAAGATGTGTTAGCTATTTCTATTTTTATTATTACCTTGAGTCTACATTTAATATTGAAAGACATGTTCTTGATTCATTTATAAGTTTTTTAACTTTTAAAATAATGCAGATCTTTATTCGTATTTAAGATTAGATTTGAAAATCATCAAAACAACTTGACATGGTGCAAGAGCGACAAGAACTTGACAACATTGAAAATGGTATAAATATATTTTCCCTTTTGTTTATCTTACTATCACTTTATGTATTGAAAATAGTTTATGAATGTTAATCTTAATTTGTACTTTTTAGATTTTATATAAATCTTTGGATGCAATAGAATCGAGTTTAACCTTTGAATTATGAGCTTATGGATGAAGTAGTGAATGATGGTTGACTATTTTTTATATTTGGAACTCTGGATTCTAATTCTAGTTTAAGTTTGATAATTTTAATGTGTTAAAATTTAAAACTTTGGATGATGTTTTAAGTTATTTTGCTTAACTTTAGATGATGTTTGTGGCAAGAATATTATTAGCAATAATTTATTGTGTTATATCTATTTGTGTATAAAACTTTGGATAATATTTTAAGAATATTGCATTATGTGTTTATAAAGATTTAATATTGTTTTGTGTCAACCTTAGTAATTACATTCTATTTCTGTTTACAATTTTTTTTTTTTTTTAAAGTGTCTAGAACCAAAAGCAATGACAAAAAAATTTTTCAATCAACCAAAATTTTACTCAAATTGATTGAAATTAATTCTATCAATTAACTTTTGAAAATAAAAATTTTAGATCAATAAATAAAAATAAAATAAAATATTTTGATTAATTCAATTTTAAATAAATTAATTAAATCGACCGAATAAACACCTCTAATAATCGTGACATTCCTACTTTTCATTGCTTGACATGAAATCGGATTCTTCGGCGTCGATGACTTTAAGTGAGACGGCGTAGATGATTACCGGCTCGCGACAGCGTTGTTCTGTTGGTGCTGCTGCTGGGATGGCAGCGGCGAGGGCGTGGGTTGGTGGGTGAGGCGGCTTTCTGATTTTATGGGAGTCTTTGCTGACTTTTAGTGGGGCTGGGGGACTTTGGATTTGTAGCTGACGCTTTGGGTTGTCCCGCCGGCGGAAAATTCAGAGTCCATGATTGATGATGCTGGTGCTGATGCTGATGCTGAAGATGAGTGGTGAGGAAAGGTTTAGTTTTTGGGATGGAGAAGGGAAAGAGAGGATCCTTTTTTTTTTTTTTTGGTTCTTTTGGCAGATGAAATGAATCACTTTGAACACCTTCAGGCAAATTACTTGACTTTAGATAACACGAAGAAAACAGAAGTCAATGCCATTATTATTATTATTATTATTATTATTATTATTATTATTGTAAAATATTTCTCCATTAGCAATTTTTAAAAAATATTAGTAATAATTCATTTTCATATGGTTTTTTTTTTATCACAAAATATATGAATTATTTTCATATGAAAATAATACATATTTTTGGCCTCAAGCTTTTCTTTTTGTTTTTTTTTTTTTCATTTTTCAAACATATTTTACATTTTTACTCCATCTCTTTTTTTTTTTTAATGTTTTAAAGTATGCCCTTTTTTTTCCCCAATATCTTATGCTCTTATTTTATATATTTCAAAATTATTTTTCTTGATTTTGTTATTTTTATATTAAAAAGTATGAAACGATAATTGTATAATTCTTTTTTTTAAATTTAACAAAATGTAAACTAAAATTATATTATATATTTATAATTGAATTATAAGTAATGATTTGGAAGTCTAATTTAACTTGACCAGATTTTTTTTTTGATAAATAAATAAAGGTAAATTTTTTAGCATTATTTTAAATTACAAAAGTTAAGCCTTATAATTAGGTGTATTAAAAACAAATTAACCAGAGCTTAAAGGTAAAAATAAAACTAAAATAAAATAAAAGTTACAAACTCCATCAGATCACACGTGATATGCAAGATCATATGTACAATGCTCAGTTTGCATATTTTTCCTTTATTAAATTTATAATTTTTTTATTATTTATTTAATAAAAATTTTAAAGTATCTCTTAATATGAAAAAAAAAAAAAAGAATAATATATATACAGTAAAGGGAAAATTTTTCAAGTCTTAGAAGAGCATTTGCATTACTAATTGTAACTTGATTTATTCAATTAGTTGCTTTAAAAGAATTTTTAATTTAAAGTGAGATTTCAGGTAAGATTAGTAGTTTAATTCGACCTTGATGAATTTTGATTTGATCAGACTTGACTTCTTAAAGTTAATTTTTTTTTTTTTTAAATCAAGTTTTGAATAAGTTAAATTGAATAATAATAAAAAAAAAGTTGAGGTCAAATTGGGACCTAATCTAATATATATATATATAAATTATTTTTTAATTAATTATTTAATTTTATATTTATATTAAAAAATTAATATTTTATATTTAAAAAATAATATTTTATTAATTTCAAATTTGATCAGATTATATATGATTTTATATAACATCAAATCAAATCAGTTTTGAATATTATGAGTATAAAATTAAATCAAATTCAAAACAAGTAAAAATTTATCTTAATTCGAACCGTTGTCAACTTTAATTTTAGATAAGGGATAATAAAAAATGAAAAGATAAAAAAAAAGGAAAAAAAACAATAGAACTAAGCAATTATGCATAACAATTTTCTATTTCTATTTCTTTTTCTTTTTCTCTCTTCTTCAATTCGAACCATTAATTTTGCAAGCTTTATATATTAATTAATATTCCTTGTATCGAATAATGAATCTGTAATTATAATTTTCCAAAAAAAAAAAAAGTAATAATAATATGGGCTTTGTTTTTTTTTCCTCAAACGAAAAGAAAAAGCTTACAATGGGCTTTGAGTTGGGTTGTTACCCGTTTGTTATGACAGCTTCGCATAATGGAGACTTTTCACAATTTTTCTTTTCCATTTTCCCATTACCAAATTTTATTTTTTTTTTAAATCAGTTTTCCTGTTACTATTTAAAAAAAAAAAAAAAAAACCAGGAGAGAAGGAAGAGGAAGGCGAATTTGCAAATTACAGCACAGACTCGGATCAGATCTATGAACTAAACCCAGATTTTTGTCGTTCTTTCAGATTATCGGGTCGGTCAGTTTCAGAGTTCTTTTTTTTTTCTTTTACAATCTTCTTCTTGCTCAATTTACAATCGAATTAAAATTCTAGCTTACTAATCATCTTCGTTTTTATTTGATAGCTCCCACTTCATTCTGCTTAATTCATCATCATCATCATCATCATTAGACATAGTAATTCTACTACTAATTCCTGAATTGGATACCCTTTTTCAAATAAAATCGCTTTCACTTACCCCAATTCCCACATGACTTCAACCACACTCTCCACCTCTCCACCTCTCCTTCCTACGCCTTCCCTCGAACCTCCTCAACCCCCCATTCCCGGTCATCCTTCTTCCTCCGCCCACCCTCTCGATTTCCCTGATATCGACCAAACAGAGTTACTCTCTGTATCTTGGAACCAGGATTACGGCTGCTTTGCTGCTGGCACATCCTGTGGGTTTCGCATTTATAATTGCCAGCCCTTTAAGGAAACCTTCAGACGCGATCTTAAAACTGGGGGTTTCAAAATTGTTGAAATGCTCTTCCGCTGCAACATTTTGGCACTTGTTGGTGGTGACTCCAATTCCCACTATCCTCCAAACAAAGCTATAATCTGGGATGACCATCAGAGCCGCTGTATTAGTGAATTTGCATTTAGGTCTGACGTTCGTGCTGTCAAATTGAGACGAGATCGAATTGTCGTGGTTCTGGAGCACAAGATATATGTCTACAGTTTTATGGATCTCAAGCTTCTTCATCAAATTGAGACTCTGGCCAATCCTAGGGGACTCTGTTGCCTTTCTCACCATTCAAATACATCTGTATTGGCTTGTCCTGGTCTTCATCGAGGGCAGGTTCGAGTTGAACACTTTGGCCTTAATATGATGAAACTCATTAATGCTCATGATTCTCATATTGCCTCCTTCACCTTGACATTCGATGGTCTACTTCTTGCAACTGCTAGTACCAGGGGCACCTTGATAAGAATATTCAACACAATGGATGGAACTCGCTTACAAGAGGTACACTGCTGGACCATGGTTCTGCTTTCTCTTAAACTAATACTCGTTATCTTTGAGGATTTGTTGATCAATCATAATATGCTTATATCTCCATGGTGTTAAAGAATGTAGATTCAAGGGGAAACATTGTTAAGTCAAGCTTTGCTCATTTCCTTTTTTTTTCTTCAAGTATGAGCAATCAGTTAACTTCCCTTCTTCCCCTTTTTTCTTTTTCTCATTTCTTCTTTTATTGAGGCACTGTGAAATTTTTTTTCCCTCTTTACCTTTTGCCAGTCAAACAACATTTAGATTGTAGCTCAAAAGTGATGGCAATAATATATATTGAAGAAGTTGAGCCTATTAAGAGGTAAAGTCAACTGGCTCAATTACATTCTTTGGACTGTGTGTTTCGAATATGCTACATGCATATATGCTTGAATAAGATATACATTTTGCTTAAAGCGATCCACCAAAGACAATGCTCAGTTAGTTACAAGAATTTCACTTGGTTGAATGGTTTTCAACCCTTTCATTAATATCCTAAAGAAAAAAAATGTAACCTTTGATGGTTTTATTTTTTTCAACCTCACTCAGTAGATGAGTAATTCATCATTGTAAAATGATTACAAACACTTTATGCTTTTAAACTGGCCTGACCTGTGAAACGGTGGTCTTAAGTCTTAACAAGAGGCATAATGACTCTTATGTCTGCAGTTAGCATGCTGGACACTACAGAATTATATTCATCTCTATTCACTTTCTCTGCAATTTAGGCCCTCATAGTTACTGTCCATGTAGGTACGAAGAGGAGTGGACAGAGCAGATATCTATAGCATTGCCTTCTCACCAAATGTCCGATGGTTAGTAGTGTCAAGTGATAAGGGCACTGTTCATATATTTAATCTTCGTGTTAGAGTTTTTGGGGAGGATTCATCTTCTCAACTATCTTCTGTCCAAAGTCCAGCATTTTTTCATCAGAATTCTTCAACTTCAGTTGATGCACTTATCTCTCCAAGCACTGGTGCCAATCCTGGTTCATCACTGTCTTTTATGAGAGGTAATAAATACAATTTGCCTTTATAGTTTGTATGCAGGCATGCTATTACTGTGTTAAGACAGAATTCATGTAACTCAGTTCATGAAAATTCAAATAAAAGTCAAATTGATATATTATAAACAATTTAAATCAGCAGATCACAAGTTTGTGGAGATTTTATAGAAAATCTGGTGTATAACAATGAGGATAAGAGGAGAATTTAGTTGGTTGCTTTTATGAAAATTAAAAGCCTTGTGTTTGCTTCTCTAAACATCTCAACTTTCTGGCATTTTCCAGGGGTTTTACCTAAATATTTTAGCTCGGAATGGTCATTTGCTCAGTTTCACTTACCTGAAGATACCCAATTTATTGCAGCATTTGGATCTCAAAACACTGTTATTGTTGTTGGCATGGATGGGAGGTATTTTGATTTCCTTATTCTCTTGAAAAGCCATTCAAACATTCCTTGATCATGATAGAGGAGTTGTGCTTGATGTCCTATTGAACTTAAGGAACTAATATGATGAAATAGAAAGTTTAAGTTGTTAGTTTAATTAATTCTTCTTGGACTTATTACTATCTTACTGTAATAAAGGTATGGAAAAATCTTGGACACCTTTATCCCACCTTTTAATATCCCTTTGTTTCTTGTCAGCTTCAAATATGTGCTGTTTTATTGAAACATTTTAACATCTTTTATGATGTATGACATCTAATTGCTTATAAAGTGTGGAGTGAGGTTGTGGAGATGCTATATAGTTAATGTTTAGCTTGGATACTGAACTTCGGTAATTTACCAACAAGGACATATAACATACAACTTACACACACACACACACACACACAGAGGTTTCGAATTTTTTTAGGAACGATCTGAACTTCACAGCATAAGATATTTCTCCTTCTAGGCCCCTCTGCTTTCTTTCTTTATTCAGTTTTGGGAATTTTCGACTCCATCTTATAACTTTTCTTATTGTCAGTTTCTACAGATGCAGTTTTGATCCTGTGCATGGAGGAGAGATGTTGCAGCAGGAATATTTCCGATTTCTGAAAAACGATAGCCGGCCTAGATAGAACTGCACTCAAACATATGCTTCTGATCTTTGTAAACATGGACCACTAATATCTATCACTTGTAAATATCTTAAAATCTTTTATTGAATGATGCTTCTTACTGTATATTGTGCAAGAAGTTGCTGTGCCAGGTGCTTTGTGTATGGTAATAGATTGCTGGTAACGGCATATATTACAATGGATTAAGTCAGAGCCCAATTTGCTGGTACATTCATTTTGCTGCTGAAACTATAGCGCTTTCGTTGAGTGTTTCTTTCTGACAGTTTCAAAGCGTCCAGGCTGCATAATGCGATAGGGTTTGTTATTCCTTGCGCAATAGCTTAAAGTCAAGTGAGATACTAACAGCTGCGGGGGTCCTTGTTTTGGAATTGGATATGGAGATATAAAATTCAGTCATGGGCAACAAGTGAATTTTCTTTGATTAGCAAAATCAAGCATCAACAGCGAAGCACTTGTAGCGCAAAGCAAGTGAATCATACCAAATTACCAATGAATTCGCTAAACTATGGAGCATATTTTTGCTGAGTGAGGAGGGTTCATATGGAATATTTGCTTACATACCAAGAAAAGAAACTGAAAGAATGTGGGGACACCTCCTTGAACACTGATAAATGATATTTCCTGCGGAAAAAAAGCCGCCTTTATATAGAAACAGGTCCAAAGAATTGGCACCTTTGGTGGTCTTGATTTCTGCGACTGCCAGGCATGTGGTTCAGTTTGAAATTTGCTCAATCCCTTGGAATTTCACTGTTCTACAAAAATATTGAACAAGTTGAGAGTTCACCTGTTGTACTCCAGTCTATACCAGGTGATAACAAAACTGAAAGTATACAAAGAAATGCCATACATTGACACCCTCCTTAGAACTCCTGTACATCGTGTTGGAGAATCTGCTCATTGAAATTTTATGACACGATAGATGCATACAGTTTTGAACATTAGACGGCAAAGCTTGGAAACTTCTATTATTTTCCATTTCTGTAACAACAACTTAGTTGCAAAATCACTTGCATCCTCTTGTACCAAAGACAATTCTAGATACGGTTCAAATACGTCATATTGAAAGGATTCTAATTTTTGACGCTTGCTAAATCATAATCGCTTAAAGCTTTGATCTTGCACCTCCCATATCATCAAATAAAATCATTACTTTCCCGATTGCTTTTCTATCTTTAATTGCAGAGAATGCATGATTGGCCTGTCAAAGACAAGTAATCAATAAGCTCAGATGTTGCAAGTCAAAGTAGAAAGTAGAAACTACAACAGTAAAATTTTCACATTTATCTCTCTCACTTCTTTGTTTTTTTTTAAGTTTATATTCAACTTATCTTACCTGACCCTTCATCCCACTATCTGTAAAACTTACCTTGATGGGGAAAAATTAGGCCTCCAACTTGGGCAACTATCCAATCCCTGAACACTTCAGGCCGCATTATCTCCTAAATGGGAAGGAAAATATAAAATCAATGGCAGATATCATGATAAAGCCCTTGTAAGCACCCATCATAAGACTATGTTATGACAAACTATGGACTTTCATCTGGAACGGGTATAACAACTAGTCCCCAAAAAAACATCATATGAAACTGTTATTTCGCTTAAGCATATGCCACTTCATCTTCTTTCTTTTTCCTCGAAATGACAATAACATCATGAGTGAAAGAAATGGATCACTAACAAATATTAACTTCATACTTTTGGTCATTCCTGTGAAAACGTGTGGAACAAAAGTAAATTATGCATTTATGCGTCTTAAATTCTCACCAAATAATAACATGCCTATTTTCTGCATGAAGTTGCTAGATTTAAGATAGTCATGGGAAATTAGGACACTGGAAACAGCATTCATCCATCGTCCCCAAAATGACCAAGCCAGATGAATACTACTTCTCTTGGGTCAAATTAAATCTAATGTGATGAATAGTACTTGGTTAGGCCCAAGGCTACAGTTACTCTGCTGCAATTCTAAGCATGAGTTAAACTGGCTTTCAGGAGGGGGGGCACTCAGCTTTTTCGGAGCGTTGTGGTTTAATAAATCAAATTTCTACTTTCTCTATATATTTCCCCTTTCCTAAATGGATTCGAGCTTCTTCAACCAAAGAATGAAAGCATATATCGTAAAGGAGGAAAATGAAAAGACTGGTGGGAGTTCCTAACCTATAATAGTGTTAGGTCAATCATATCAACAGAAATAAAATTAAATAATTAATCAATCTCATAAGATATAACAATTTAATATAGTTTGATCCAATTGACATACATCCATAAATGAGAAATAAAATCTACTAGTTATAATGAATTACAAATATACATCAAATCATTCTTATTTAACAATCAATACCTATAAACTCTCTCAATATCCTCTAGTCCTATGGAGTATTATTAACCTAAATAAATACAAATCCATATACACTCCTGCACCTATATCTATATAGACCTTCTCAGTCTTTTTTAGTCAATTCACAAATATTCAAATATACACACCCATAAGATATAAATCTCTACTAATCTTATGGGATGTCTATTTCATAAAATCCTATAACTCTCTTATATCTTTTTCTCATAACTAACCCTATAGAGACTTCATCTATTTATAAGCATATAAATTTGCCTATTAAAAATCTCTTTACTCTTAGAATTTTTTTTCTGCAAGTCAAACTTACCTATTAAGAATATTTTTTCTCTTAAAATTTTTCTTATGCAAGTCTTCTTGTCCATCAAGTAATATCTAACCAATCCCAAACAAATCTATTATGGAATTTGAATCACTATTCCTAACAATTTTCAACTTAATTCAAATTTCATCAAATCATTTGTATTCTGTTAGACATATTTGGCTTCACCTGCAATGAAAGTCTTACAAGCATCTTTTTTTGTGTGTCTTTATGTTTCATGCAAATCAATCCTCAATTCTCAAAATTTGAATTCGAACTCTTTTCTTGAATCAAGCTCATTTATGCTTACATTTTCCCACGGCTTGAACCATGCTCTAATACCACTATTAGACCAAAATGTCCCAATCTAATAACACCAACAAAAATAAAATCAAACAATTAATCAATCACATAAGATACAATAATTTAACGTAGTTCGATCCAATCGACCTACATCCATGGATGAGAAATAAGATTCACTAGTTGTAAAAAATTACAAACATACATCAAATTAATCTAACTCAATAATCAATACCCATAAGCGCTCTCAATATCTTCTAGTACTATAGAGTATTCTTAACCCAAATAAACACAAACTCATATCTACTCATGCACCTATATCTATGTAGACCCTCTTAGTCTCTTCCAGTCCACTCATAAACATTCAAACATATACACCCATAAGACGTTAATCTTCAATAGTCTTATGGAAATGTCTATCTCATAAAACCTTATAACTCTCTTATATCTTTTTCTCATAACTAACCCTATGAAGAATTCACATATTTATAAGCATACCAACTTGCCTATTAAGAATCACTTTCCTCTTATAATTCTTCTTCTGCAAGTCAAACTTACCTATTAAGAATATTTTTTCTCTTAGAATTTTTTTTCGACAAGTTTTCTTATCTAACAAGTAATATCTAACTAATCTTAAATAAATATGTTATGGGACTTAAATCACTATTCCTAACAGATAGTCTGCAAGTATGAGAAATGTGAATGGTATTCATGCTCTTTTCCATCTAAGAGAATAACTCTTAGATGGAATCCTCAAGCACAGTTAGTCAATGTATCTTATAGCTATCCAGTAAAGCCCATGCACAGTTCAATTTTGCATAAGATAGATGCCTGAGAAGGCTATTCAAGATAAACAACTAATAATGAGTAAGTGGAGAGTGCAACTAACCAGTTTAATGTTGGAATTGAGTATTCACTACTATGATTCACTAAATTAGGTTAACCACCAAGTTCTGCTGCATTAAAACTATATTTAACTCTTAAAAGTACAATTGTACAAATCTTTATTTGTCTATAGTGAATATTTTCAAAAGTAGTTTTCATTCATTTGTCTATTTGTCTATATTATTCAATATGTAAGATGGTATATTCAGTGCCATCTTCTTTATAATAAGATTCCAACAAGGAAAAGAATGGTAAATTAGAGGGAAAATGAAGGTAACATAGTGTGGTATGTGATGCATCAATTTGAGGAAAAAAGGTGAAATACCATAATAAGAGTGATATTAGCAGGGATGACAAGGATTTCACCACTAGCAAATCCAATGACAAGAATTTGAGCACCCTAATTTAAAAGCTTCATAGTTTCTTCACCAAGCTTGCCAACAACAGAATCATAAAATACGTTAACCCTTTTTAGGTTACTCGACTTGATGAACTAATTTAAACTAGCAATTAAGGTTGTTACAAGGCTAAAAGATACAAGATACTTTATTGTCTTGTGAATTTCTTGTAGTTTTTTTATTGAATAGTTAGAGTAAAACAATTATGAATCTTTAATTCCTAACAAAATAGTCTCAAGATGTGCTATAAATGCCATTTTTTAAAAGATTATTTTGCCCTAACTAGTTATATTCAAAAAGGTAAATTAAAACTCCTCTAAAATACAATGAAGTTTTATTTATTCATACTTTGCACAAGTATAACAAATCATTAAACATAGCTTAGTAGGAACGATAATGCTTTATCGTTCTAAGGTTTTTTGCAGCAAACAATGCTAAAGCATTTTGTCTTTAATTGAGAAAAGATTGAAAGAAAAAGAAAGTACTAATTCATAATTGAATCCTAAGATTGTGAATTTTTTATTATGTTGTTTCAATAAAAAATTACTTTTCTTTGATTATAAATATGTCCATTTTAAAGATTACATACATATTTGTTCATTTTAATATTCAAACTATTCATACAAAGAGAAATTATTTTTCACACTTTTGAAAATTATAACTTTTCATGCAGAGCAGTTGATTGCCCCAAAAAGGCAGTCGATCGCCTCTTTATATTTTCAAATTCTAGAATGATTTCAGAATGATGGCAGTCAACTCCTTGCTTTATACAAAATGCATTCAACATGTGAGTAGTAAACTACTCTATATAGTAGTCGACTTCTTTCAATACCAAAAAGGTTTCACATTTAACTTTCTATAGAGTAGTTTTTCCCTTCAATAGTAGTTGACTATTTATAACATAAATCAATCCTAAAAGACTATCATCAATGGCAAGTGATGCAATGAGGTTTTGGAATTAATTTCATATTCATTTAAGACATAGCAGTTGGCTGCTATTTATATAGAATCTAAGTTTAGCCTTTTTTGACAAAGCAATCGACCCATGCCCTTGGCAATCAATTACTTTTCTTAGATGTCTAAGGTAGTCGATTGCTCTAAACATAGTAGTTTACTGCTTATTTATATAGTCTTTATACACAATTTTTTTAAGTATAAAATCATAAATTTGACATTAGGACCTTACCTTAAGTTATTTATCAATTTAATTTGATATTTCCTTGATTAAGTTATTCCTTAATTTTAATTTCATATTTTGAAAATGTTTTCTAACATTCCTCCACCTATTTTTGACATAGAGCTAAGTTTCAGTACTTTTTATGCATAAGCAAAGATATCATATAACATAATTTGAAAATATTTATTTTAGTGATAAAGTATTGTTGAGTTAGTTAAATTGAAATGTAGATCTTAGATCTTTGAATCAATCAATTTATGCAACTAGTCATGCACTAATACCACACATAAAACTTTAAGTCCTACCAAGACATCATTTAGTCTTGCTATGACACAGTTTTAATGATTGTATGTTATGTATATTCATGAGTGCTTTCAAAGTTAAGTCTATGCTCCTATAAGTGATACTACTTTCACTTATATAGGGGAACTCCATCAAGAATGAATCATATAAGCATTCCAAAATTAAATTGCCATGTTATGGATTCATTAAAATTTAATTCTCAACAATTACGCATATGGTTCAAGTACTTTTCTACCTTAGGATGGTGTATAGTTTAAAGTACTTACTGTCACATATAAATGATGTATTTTGCTCATTAAAACTCAATTTTAATGTGCAATTATGTGTTGAGTTAAGGTTTCATCATGTGTGACTTAATTTATGAACTTGAGTCCTATTTCTATGGAAGTTTTAAACATTATA